TATATATATATATATATATATATATATATATATAAGGGTCACATTGCATGCAGCCGTGTTGCCGGATGGGAAGGACAATCATGTAGACATTAAACCTATAAAAGACTCTTTTTTTTTTTTTAGATCACCCAGCCCTAGAATAGCAACTGCAAAAGAAGAACATAAATAATAATAATAGTAATAGTAATACACAGGAGGGGGTCAAAAAAGGCCCGCTATGATGCGTTGGTCACGATAAATGCTCCTACTCCCTTCAGACCCCACCTTCAGGTGCATCTGCCAAGGTATTTGTTTCCTTCCCTAAAGAAGCATTCGCGATCCCTTCTAGGCCGTGGGATTTGGTGGGTTTGGCTGCTCCTCACTATTGTCGCCCAAGTCCGCGTTAAGTGCGTCTTCCACAGCATCCTGCAAATCACTCATACTGCCCACCTCCAACCGCCGCAAAAACGTCACTCCATGTTGCTCTGCCTGCAAAATGAAGGATGACTTGGAGGCGGCATACGTCATCCTCACTCGTGGTTTGCATGTTGGGGGAGAAATGTACACCATTAGCATTTTTGCAGTTTCATTTGCTGAACAACGAAGCACAACAAAACGAGCGTGATTCTCTGGAATAAGACTTTTGACAGCCCTTAGAAGTGATGACAATGACGATGATGAATCTTCTGAGGCTTCAAGCGCTTTGTCCACCAAAATTTTTTCAGCGTCAACGACAAAGGATAGTGCATTTAGAGCACCACGGTTCAGCTCCTTCAGTAGCTTCACCCCTTCTTCAGTGATTGGCATTGCTACGCCTGGCATTGCCACCTGCATCGGTGCGGGTTCCATCTTTTCAATAGTAGCGTAGAGCTTTTCCTTTTCCGTCATGAGATCCATACGATCAGAAGACGTTTCCTTCTTGAAGAGAGACAATGTGATATCCCCCACATTGTTCACGTGCTCCTTTACAAGATGCATTAAACCGGAAGCGTCTGACAAATGAGCCGCACCTGACGCATAAAGCATTTTTACCCTTGGTTTTATGCTATCTGAACATAAAAATACCTGGGCAAACTCTCCTTCACTGAGCTTTACGATAATAAAGGCGGCCTCCAACTTCTCTGCTGTAATAATATCTCTGACTTTGGCAAGATCATCGTCCATGTTGGCAGTTGCCTCATCAACCTTGTCATGAAGCCGCAATACCTCGTCATCCAGCGTGACCACAAGGGCGCGAAGAGATGTGTTCGCCTCCCGAAAGGATTTAAAGGCCTCTTGTAGGGCGGAATCCAGTTGAAATTTCACAGAGAGCATATCCCACTCTCTTTTCCACTGTCTTCTTGAGTTATTTCCTCCTTTTTTCGGTACTCCTTTGCCTGCTTCAACTAATTTTCAACGAGTATATCTCGGTCTTTTTTTTTATAGTTTTTCCTTCCTCCTGCTGCTTCTGCTTACCCCTTTGTATATGCTCCTCGGCCTTGGCTATGTAATTACACCTGCTTCCCCACACCTTGCCCAGAGCAAAAATAAAAATAAAAATAAAAATAAATATTACCACCAGAAACTTATTCTTGTCTCGTTACTGTCATTTGTCTGCCTTCTATATTTTTTTCCGCTCCTGCTCCCACTTCGCGGATTTATTTGTGTTGCGTTTTCGGTTGGCTTGCACGCCGTCATTTTATGCGTATCACCTTTTTTGCTCAAGCAATGGGGATGGGCTTGGAGTTTATTCCCCCAAAAAGTGCGTCTCCTTCTCCGTCTGCCCATCCCCATCCACCCTCCTGCTCTCATCGCAACCTGCAATCACAACAGTTTCACCTCACGCGCCGCATCAACCAAACGCTGCCTCATCGAGGTGATGACCTGACTAAAGGGGCTGGTTGGTCCGTAGCTAAGCACGCAGTTATCCACCATCTGCTCCAACACATCGCGTAAAGCCAGAAAAGCATCACGGTTGGTTTTCATACCAAAAGACGAGCCTCGTACCCACTTTTCTATGCTGTTCAACTCAATGTTAGCCATATCGAACACTGGGTACTCAAACCACTTATTGGTATCCACTTCACGAAGCAAATCAAGCAGTTTCAACGTTTTTAACTGTGTATCAGTGTAGGATGCGGCTTCAGTCTCCGTGGGAAACGGATTCACGTCAAACATGGTTTCCTCTACCAAGAGCGGACCTGGCACCTCTCCACATAGTCTAGTCTTGCGTAAAAAAAGACCATACTGCTCTCTTATTGAATGCTCAAAATGAAGCCAAGAGGATGTGAGATGCTTCTCCTGATCAGCAGGAACTGTGGCATATAACCAGTACAGAAGCAATTTCATGTCATGCATTGCGCCGTATAGACCACGCCATTGGTATGCGCCATTCAGTGCTTTATTCATCATCCCCTCAAATGACACTGATAGTGGACTGTCAGTCATCCGAGCGTCATTGCCCCGTAAAATGGGACTCAAGATTCGAAGGCAATCTTTACTTTTTAGAGATTGCAATGCCCTAAGAACAATTGAAGTTGCCGCATGACTAACATCGCCAGAGTCATTCTCGTCACGAAAACGCTTCTGTTGGCTAGTTTTGCCATCATCTTTCATAAGAACTGTAAGAGGTCTTTTTTCTGTCGCAAAAATCTTCGGTATTGCTCGCAGAATGTCACCAACGTACGCGGGCGAAATATCACGGGCCCGATCGAAGTTAAGAAGCATCTGCACTAGAGTAAACTCTAGTAACGCTAGTGAGGCATCCACACGAGCTTCAGTGGTCGAAATAGAGGCTGCGACTGCCTGCACACTAATAGGCAGTTTCACCCCATCAGTCCTTTGCTGCTTCAGCACATCCTCATACTCCAACTTTAGCGCCCGTACAGTGGTGTAAATATCTGATAGAGAAAGAAATGGACTTGAAAGCATCTTCATGTTTTGAACCTTGTTTTTGTTTGAGCTGGTTTTTCTGAAGCCAGATGACGTCGGGCCTAACGTTCGATTACTGGGAATAAAGTGGTAGGACTTATCCATCGCAGCTATATGGCACAGGATAGAAAGTGACGACTGCAACGCCGCCAACCGTCGCGTACAATCCGTTGAGCTAGTCGCCGCCTGTTCGATCCTCTCCACTTGTACAGCGTTCTTCCCATACTCGATGCATCGTTGTATGCTCCTTACCAATGACTCTGGTACCACCATATCACTCATATCGTCCTTTCCTCTTCCTGCTGATCCTCGTTCTCCTTCTGTCAGATCTCTTGCATGTGGACAAGCGTTCACTTTGGCAGGAACGGTAAAGCGTTTAGCAGCCGGTGCCCTTGTGCAGCCGGCAAAGATCACATCCATTCCCTCTTCGGCACGTGAAACAAAGACACACCTGCATGCATAAACACCGTCAAATAGGTAACAACACCATGTAGAATAAAACGGAGCAGTAAAAACAACAGCATGGCAACCCGCGGAAAGAGACCACATCGACGATTTGCGGAACAACAACAAAAAAAACAAAAAAAAATATGGTTTGTAGCCACTTTGACTCACCTCTTCAATAGCGCGCAAATGAAATTCTTCAGAGTTCTTTTCAATTCCCGCGCTCCAACATCCACCCACCCACCCAGAGTTCTCTTTCCTTCTTGCTTTCCTGCAGCTCTTGCGGACTACGGTTTGATTTGACGGCAATCCTCACGGCGACACCACTCTCCCTGCTTTTTTGGTTCAGCACAAAGTGGACAGTAGTACCACTCCTCCAACTTAAGGTACTTCTCCTTGAAGTGCAGACCGTACACCTTGCGGCGCAACTGCATTGGGTTCTTCTTCCGCTTTGGGGTTCCACCTTTGCTACCCAACAATGGCAGTGTTTGGTGAAGCACAGAGAACACCAACGACGTTCGGCGCAGCATTTATAACAATTGACTAAGAGTGCCAAAATCACGTGTCTGTACGTATATTAAGAAAGGAGATCAGGGCTGAAGCTACAATAACGAAACAGCCGCAAACACAGTGAAGTGATTCCCTTTGATCCCGCCACTTCCCGTCTCTTTTTCCTTCTCTAGTTTCTGCCCTATTCCCTTTGAAGCTCCAAGAAGGTGACAAGGGAACACATTGTTATTAAAAAAGCAGATGCCGAAGTGCACTCCTCATTACATAAGCAACCACTGACGTTTCCCTCCTCAAGTTGTTTTTGTTGTTGCTTGTCGGTTTATTCTCATTAAAAGGAGCATTTTTTGCTTCCTCCCATCTTTCCTTACCTCTCTTCTTTGTTCATGGGATGACTGAGAAAACAACACGATACAAATACGTGTTTGTGTGCATGGTTACGAAGAAGTGCATTACTTGTGTTATCTCCTCGGTAGCACACGTACACTCGCGCACACAACAAATACTTTTTTCCCTCATTTTCTCTTCTTGTTCAATCCTTCGACTCTGCATTTCTCTTTCTCTGTTATTCCCGCATCCTCTGCCTTCTGTCCATGTTCACCATTCATCTGCACACATTCGTGCACTCTGCGTTCGCCCACGACTCCCAATGACTCATTCGTTGACATGCAAATTGTTTACGTTCATTCGCCACACAAAAACAAAAATACTGGAGAAGTCACGACACGGCAGCATCATGGCAAAGCCAAAGAGAAACAAAGGCAGGCCAAGAAAGAGAAAGAGATTCGAACGCCTCAAGACTCGTTACCCAACATTGGGTTCAATGTTGTTTTTGTTTGTTTTTATAGCATGCACGCTCCCTCTTTGTGTGCGTGTGTGCGTATTTCGCTCTCTCTATCTATCTCTGTCTCCACCCCCTCACATCTTCTTCTTGGAGGCTAAAGTGGAAGCGTCCCCGTTTTCAGCCTCACCCGAGCGACTCCCCATCGCCGACCCCCGATGGTTGAAGTGCATGAACCCCACCCCCGTGAAAATTACATCGTCGTAGCGCTGATGGCAGTTCTTGTCAATAATGCGCGCGCGTTTAAATTTCGACTGCTTCACAAAGCCAACAATGGCGACGACAACGCCGATCATCAGCTCTACAAAAATCGGTATAGTGGACGCATTTATATGTGCCAAGGCCCCAGCAGTGCTGGATGATACAGGGAAGTATGCGGAGGCCATGACGCCACTACTGCTGCCGTGGTGGTGCTCCTGCAGCTGCTCACGAATGCGCAGTGCGAGGAAGAAGCTGTGCGCGAGAAGCAGCAGGCCGGCGGGAAATATAAATTGATACCACAAGGACATGGCCGAAACCAAAAAGAGACGTGGGCAACAATTGCAGATAAAGAGAACAACAACAGCAGTAGCAGCAACGACTAAACACACCCAGCGACTGCTTAAGAAGAAACCTATAAGAAGACAAAGGGAAATGAGACAAGAAAGTAAAAGTGAAGTAAATCGAAAAAAAAAAAAAAAGAAACAATGCGGTTGTGAGGAGGGCAATGCGGCGCATGTAACGCCTCAGTCTCGGGTCCATCAAAGACGATGGGGTAAAGAGTCAATCGAAGACGAGACATGCAAGACGACACAAAGACAATCAAATGCCATTGAGTGAGCGGAGGGAGGGAGTGTGAAGTGCGTGGCGGTGCACAGACGACATCCAAGGGCACACTACGAAGGGTCCCGCATGACCCAACCATAAATATTTACACGACGAGCATGCACGCACTCCACTCCATTCCCGTCCAGCACAAAAGGAAGAAGGCAAATAAAAAGGCAAAACAAATAATAATAATAATCAAGCGTTTTGTTTTTTTGTTGCTGTTTTTTTTTCCTTTTCTCTTCCATCTGGAGTATGCAACCTCGTGGTCCCTCTCGCCCCTCTTCGCACTATTGACACCCAAAGTTGCGGCCATTCCAATCTCATTCCGTCGTTCCTCGCCTCCTGTGACTGGTGTCGTCATCCCCAACCAAGCAGTCAGCAAAGTCCGCACGCGGGCCAACAATCGTTTCTTGCACGTTCACGTGTTCGTGATATCCAGCTTCTTGAGACGATCCATGATGACGGCGCGCGAAACCTCCTCAACCTCCCCCGCCAGAATCATCTCGTCTATGATGAGAAAGACCTTGTGAAAGTTAAACACAAGATCCAGCTCACACACGTTTTTGAAAAACATATCCAGCACCTCTACCATCAAGTGGATAAACTCCAAGTAAAGCAGGTCATTGTCGTCCTTCTCAATGCCGAAACAGAAAAAAAGTCCGGCATAACGACGATAGACAAGTTGCAGCGAGCCGTAGGAGGCAAAATTAGACAAGCGGGCATCGCGGCTATTGATGAGGGCATGCACATCCCGCTTCATCCGCTCCCGTTCGGCGTCGTCGTATGGAACATAAAACTTGGCAAGTCTTGTTTTGCCCATCCGGTTCTGCAAAAAAATAAAGTGTATCATTTCCCCTTAAATACGCACTCAAACGGAGTCCCACTCGTTCCGCCCCACGATTCTTCCCTCTTTTCCCCCCCCCCCCCTCGCTTTAGCCTTCTGCGGATGGGGCGGGGAGAAGGCGGTTTGCGCGTGCGTTGTGCCTAAAAATAATGCAGCGGCAGTACACACGCAGAAACCATAAACAAGTAACGCTACAATTCTATATAAATAAAACCGACAACCCAAACAAAAAAACAAAAACAAAAAAAAGTAAGCAACGCATAGAAAAACAACAAATAAATGCCTTTGCAGGGTAGAGGCAGAAATCTCTGCCACTCCACCCTCTGCCCGCATCGCCGGGCACACGCCGTATTAAAAATGAACTTCCCCTCGGCATAGACAAACACTAACAGATGAGAGATAAAAAAATATATATATATATATATTATATATATGCGTATATCAACGGATGGTTAAATTTCCCTTTATTTATATTCGCATCAAATGAATGTAATCATCCATGTTGTGTTTCTTTTTAAAGTTACCCCAATGAGATTCATTCTAAAAGAAGTTGTGCGCCAAACCTTCTCACCTTATTGTAAATCAAACGAACTTCCCCCTTGAATTACAGGTTCGTTTTCCTCTTTATTTATTTATTTTTTCTCCTTCTTTCTTCTTTTCGTTTCTTTTGCGTATGCCTGCCTAGACAAATTACGGATACTACTAACATTCCTAAAAACGACTTGTTGCTTTGCTCTTCTTCTTCCTCATTACGGCTCGCATCTTCCCATATAACGCGGGTACAGACATGCCTCCCTCACCGAGTCCAGGTTCAGAAGCCACACCAAGAAACGCTCCAACCCCAAACCAAATCCGCCGTGGGGGGTGGAACCGTACTTACGCTGATCCGTGTACCAATAATACACACTGGGGTCGAGGTTCTTACCTTTGTACGCCTCGATCAGCTCTTCGTGATTCCACATACGCATGGAGCCGCCGACAATTTCGCCAATTCCAGGCGCCAACACGTCAACAGACTCCGTCAAGGTGGGATCCTCGGGGTCTCGAGCCATATAAAATGACTTCATTACTGCAGGAAAATGCGTCATGAACACCATCTCACCTAGCAACGCCACCATAGCTCGCTCTGGTTGATCCGTGATATCCTCACCAAACTGAAACGGAGCGTTTGTCTCTGAGTTCAAAATGCCGTTGTCGTTACAAAACTTAATGGCATCACCGTACTTAAGACGCCTAAACGGTTTTTTCGGAGCAAACCTCCAGCTCTTCGGGTCATGAGGGTTTGCCTCTGGACTCACCAATTCCCCTGGATTCATGAAGGCAACCAAATGTCCCACACGCTCAATTGTTCGGTTAAATGCCTCCACAATCATATCTTCCAGCCTTGAAAGGAAAATATCAAAATCACAAACGCTGTATTCAACTTCAAGATGTGAATATTCACTTAGGTGGCGTCGCGTCTTGGACTTTTCCGCTCGATAGCTGGGAAGGATGCAATAGACATCGCCCAAGGAAGCCGTACAGGTTTCAAGATATAACTGGGACGACTGTGTAAGGTGAGCAGTTTTGCCATAGTAGATGACATCAAAGAGGGTAGAACCTCCCTCACATTCCGCGTTTACAAGAGTTGGTGGAGTTACTTCGTACGCGTTTGTGGACCAAAAATACTCCCGAAAAGCCCGGATGACCTCATGACGAACTTTTAAGGTTGTTGAACCGTAGGTTCCACGAAGCACCAAATGACGGTCATCTAGCAGCTTATCAGAGGAACTCTCAGCGGTAATAATATTTTCAATACTACCGTCGGAGTTACCAATAATGGCATATTCATCCACAAGAAGCTCATATGGGGGCTGCAATTCGGCTTGGGCCTTGGGCTCACGCTTCACTCTGCCACGAATTGCCAAGGAGGTTTCACGATGGAATGGCTCCGTCTCACCATCGAAGACGGCTTGAATATACCCAGATCCATCCCGGAGCACCACAAATGAGATGCGCGACTGGTGACGAACACGGTGTGCCCAACCAACAATCTGAACCTGGGTACCCTCCTGCACCGAAGGCAAATCACCAATGCGAGTAAGTGAACGCAGATCCACAACACTTTTCCAATCTGCACTGCGTGGGCACTTGTTCGTTGCTGCAGTTTCGTCACTCTTTTTTGAAGCCTGGGTAGGAGCCTTCTCCTTTGTCTTGGGCCCCGCCTCATCAACGACAACATCTTTAATCATGGGTGGCACCAACTCCTCAAGAACGGTCTTCACTACGATGAAGTCTGCCCACTGTAAACCCGATATCTGTTTCATCCTGCCAAGCAGCATGTTAGGATTTTTCATCCATGACACTTTTAACGCCTTGGGGTCTTCATCCGCCAAGGCTGCCTTCACCCGAGACAAGATTTCATCGTGCGAGACTGCCACACCCACACCACAGTCCTTTTCAAATGCGGCTGCATCAAAAGGAGTATCTTCTGTCATGGCATTCACCACCCGTACTGCAGCATCCACCTTTTGTGTGGAGTCCAACTTGTTTTGTTTCACATATTCGGCGACAAGAGCACGGTGCTTTGGGAGTTTAACTTTGGTCCACACGTTAAAAAGCATCACCTTTTGCTCACGGGGGGACTCCGGTGTCATATTTTGGCTCGCAAAAAAACCAAGAAGGTCCTGCACGCGTTCTGGCTTCGTGGACAGGTCCTTGGAGTTCTTCTCATCCAAGCCAACAACACGTTGGAGGCGCTCAATGAATTCTGCAGGGGAAGTCATATTTGTCTTATCTGGCGAGTGAATAAAAACTCTAAAAGAGGAAAGCGCAGTGCAGAAGCAACTCCCATGAGGTGAAGATTTCCACGGCATAAATCCTCTCAGTCCCCCACACGTTACATGAAGACGTTGTGGCTCGGGACCAGAAAATCTGGCGCAGCAGAAACCCTTGCAACCGTGCGGTGGCGGTACCAATCCACGTTCAACAGGGCGTCGCAACGCCAAAGCTATAAATTCACCCCTTCTCATCAACACCAAAAATTTACCAATAAATACATGTACCCACACCTACGGATACCCACAACGGCGGACAGCAATTAGGAGAGAAGTAAAAGAAAACGGAGGGAAAAGTATCTGGGATCTTACGTACGCTAGTGTTTCAACGCTTTGTTAATGTTATTCTTTATTTTAATCGTCCCGCTCTCCCTTTTCTCTCTCCCCCTCCCTCTCGAAGAAAAATGGGTGGAGAAATATATATTATATATAAAAAGGAGCAGCTGTGTGCATACGTACCCATGCGGTGCTAGTGGGGTGGGGGAAGGTGAGAGGATGCGGTTCGTAGTGCATTTGTTTCTCCTGGACAGATATATACGCGTGGTCCTCCCTCTTCTTCCCGAACCCCAAGTACGCAAAACACACAAGAAAGGAAGAGACTGAACACGGAAGGAAAACAATAACAAAAAAAGAAGAAATGTCGTAACGAGTAAAGACAAAATACACACACATATGGCTCAAAATAATCAACATGATACGTGCACGCATCACACTTCCTCAGTTCACGACAAGTCGTTGAACAATTAGCAACCATACAATAAAATGAAACCAACATGAAAAATAATACAATTGACTGTACATCCACTGTTAAATCATCTCCAATCGCCTCATGCCAAGGTGACACAAGGAAAGCAGCAGCGTCATGTGCCGCTGTTGTTGCACATCAAGAGCTGTTCTAGCCTCCTCTTCCGCCGTATTGACAGGCTCAAACACTCGCTGAAGGGCAAGATAAGCATTGGTTTCTAACTCCACTTCGCCTTGCTGAAAACACAGCAAAAGCTTCTTCCAGCCCTCCCCCTCCTCTGCGATAAACACATCTCTCGCTTCCTTCTCATCGAAAGAAAGTCGATGCTTCGCAAGTTTAAATGATACAGGTTCGTAATACCGCATGTCAATAAGAGCAATGGTGTCCAATGCAGCTTTGGCGCACGCTTTACTGCGTTCTAGTGCCTCACAAAAATACGCATCCTCTGCCAACATAGAACGAGAAGAGGTTGATCTTGGTACGGGCATGGGGGGAGATGCAGAATCCTTTGCTGAAGTGTCTCTGGTGGCGGCTGTGATCGTTACAGCGCCCTCCTGCATCACTGGGGACTGAGGAGACTTGAGGTATCGCATAATAGTGGAGGAGGTCTCACTGTTTGCGTCCTTGCTTGCATCGGAAATACAATTTGCCGTCGTGTCAGGAGTGCCACTAAGCTCCTCACACAGACAACCCTGGTCATAGTGATGTACGTAGCTGCCAAACTCGAGAACTGAGGCCCTATCCATCTCGTCCAAAAACGCCCTTCTCACAATTTCCGCATCCAGTTGCTTTTGTTTCTCCAAAATATTACGCATTTCTGTCGTGAGGGAGCGAAATGACTGACGTTCCCACAATAACAAATCACAGCGCACATCAGCGTAGTGCTGGATGAGTTTTTGCCAGGTCTCGGAAGCTTCAATAGTGACTTGAATGTCTCCTTTAACCCCCGCTGAGTTCACACCGTCTGGTTGAGGACATGTTCCCAAGTTTTTTTTTCCCTTGGCAGCGGCAAGAGCCGGGCCAGACACTGGCCCCTTTGCAAAAATGTAAGAGAGCCACGCTGTTTCTTCGGCACGTTGTGCCAATTTCTTCATATACACTGAACTGGGAAATGAAGCAAGCGGCTCCGTATCCAGAAAGCGGCGTTGCTTTGGCGCGGGTGATGCTGTGTGTTTGGCGCCGCATTCCGGCACATCAACGCCCATCAGGCGAAGAACTGCAAGAGCCTGTTGTCGACCCTCGTCTTCCATTTCCGCAATCATAGCGCGGTCGCGCCGCTCGTCCCCAAGAATTGAATCTCGAGCCCCACCCTCCTCGCCTTCCAGGACACTTCGCACCTTCCGTGCGGCTTCTCTCTTCTCAAGAACGACAAAAACTGCTGGGAGGGGTGCCTCCAATCTGTCGGTCGAAGAGCACTCGTTGACCTCAGGCGATGCTTCACGTGGCGGTAATTTTGCATATGTGCAACGACTTGCAAAAGGGTAAATAACAGGTACTGGAAGCGCATTAACTAAGTCTGCGTCGAGGGACGACGCTTCTCCATCTTCATCGGCCTTCATTTTCCCGAGAGAGGTGCTATTGGACGTGGCATCCTTCAGATCTGGGGAGGCCCAGTGTGCAATGACTTCATAGACATTTCGACCATGCGTTGTTACAGGCGTGAAGAAGTTGTCCAGTTTGTCATCCCTGTTCATGCACGCATCTAGGCGCAACAAATGCGGACGGCCCAAGCCCGCACGTGGCGTCACATAATTCCCCTCGGCACTAATGAAAAAGGCCTCAACGGTACGGGTCGAAAGGTGTGGGAAGCGACAAAGTGTGCGAAACAGAAAGCTTGATAATAAGTCGCTCACAGCAGCCGCTTTAAGCGGCATCCGCAGCGGCACAAGAACTTCCGCGGGCGATCGAAATGTGTGGGCACCACGAAACACACTATCACCAACCTCTGCTGGATCGGCATCAAACTTCACAGAAAAACAAAATGGGGACTGCTGCTGCTCCCCCATTCTCTGTTGGTCTCGCTCGTGCTCATTACACTCTCCCGCTCCAACCTCGCGCATCCCCTTCTGCGAATGGTTCCCTTAAAGTTCTGTGGGGGTTGGCGGATCGCTCCCTCTGTGTGTGTAATATTTATAAGAGAAATATCCTGCTTCGTTCCTTCGCTTCGTGTGTTGTTGGGTTAAAACGGCCGGCCACGGCAGGACCAGAAAGCACACACATACACACACAAAAGAAAAAAAAAGCAACAAACACAAGAAATAGTAAAGCGCAGTAGGCGGTTCGGCGCGCATGCGCGAAAGAACAGCAGCAGCAAAACAAAAATACAAAATCGAAAAAAATACTCCCATAGAGAGAGACTCACACTTCATTCTTTCATAAATCCCCCCGCTTTCGTTGTGCATTTTTTTCTGTTTTTGAAATCTTTGTGTATGTGCGGCCCATCGCAATGGAGCAGCAAGCAGGGTTCTCCACTTGTCACAACCAACAACAACAAAGAAAAATAATAACGACAAAAATGTGCCCATACAAAAAAAAAAAGCAAAAATAACACTAATAACGAAATAAGGCGTTGTGGACACAAAAATCTACTCCAAATCCCACAAACGCAAATACTTCAAAAGGCACGCTGCGGAAGCAAAACCCATTCCCCCAAATACTATGAAGACAACGCCCATGCCTTTCTCCTGGTCGCCAGACGGTCCACCTGAGATCTTCTCCACTGCTACAGGGAAACCAAGATTCATGAGAGCATTCAAAACAAATTGAAAAAGTACAGTTAGGCTTGATCCTCGTGCACGAAATGACGGCGGAAAAATGCCCTGAGAAAGAGTCCAAAAAAAACTTCCCATCCCGACCTCAAAGCATAAAATGAATAGGGCAATCCCAAAACCTGAGAGCAACCGCTTTACCGTGACGGATGCACCAACAGCTGGAAGGAGCGTTATGCCTGTCAGTAAACACGAAGCTGAGGCAAAACACAGTGCAATGTTAAACGTGTGATCTGCTCGGTATTTAAAGGATAGTGGTATAGATACGAGAACAGACAAAAAATTCCACGCCATAACAAGAACGTTACCAGCAAGAGGTGCAAAGCCCAAAGCACCTGTAATTGTAGGGGCATAGTTCATGATTGCATTAATTCCTGTCATCTGTTGGGCAATGCACAGCATAAACGCAGCAAAAACAATTTGAGCCAAGACACTCCAAGAAGGTCGTACAGTGTTAGCTTCATTTGTTCCTTCCCAAGCCTCATCTGTATCCTCAACCTTGCCTCTTAGCGAAGCACCGATAGAATTCCTTTCCTCCCTTACTCCTCTCTGTTGAATCATCTGCTCCACCCAGGTAGGACTTTCTCGCATCAAGAGACCCACAATCACTAGCAACCCACTAAAGAGGCTGTTCAGTACGCATAATCCTTGGTGACGTGCTTGCATATGAACATCTGTCGAAAAATCCCCTGGGTTTAAGACTAAGCCTGCGGCGGCTGCTAGAAGAATACCAAACGTACATGCAACCTGAAAGAACACGCCAACGAGTTGTCGATGGCACACCGGTGTTATCTCCTCCACGTACATGGGTGAGGCAACACAAAGAATCCCAGAGACAACACCTGCCAGTACACGACCAATAATAACCATGAGATACTGTTCCGTGTACGTGGATACATGCGTAATAACAGCCGTCAGGCAGGCTACAATACCATAAATCAAAAACGTCCTTGTTCGTCCTGCTGCAGTAAGCAAAAATCCAGCACCAAGTGAACCAAGGCAGCCACCTACAATCATGCTAGCGGCAAAAACTCCGCTTTCTGCAGCGGTGTATCCAACCAATGGTTCACATTCACCTACTTTTAAGTTCCAATGACATTGAATCTGCTTCTGAGGAACACCAGAATTGCATTCTGCCTGCATCAAATCTGTGCAAGCTGATTTAGCAAACTCACAGTTCCCATTATGCCAGACACATTGACCAAAATTAAAGCTAGCGCATGCATTATCCCCCGTGTTAAGAGAACAGTCATGACGAATCCTAACAAAGGTGTAATACGGTCCAACAAAACCAATATTGTATCCAAAAAAAACGCCAGCAATGCAGTGAATCAACACAATTTGAAGAATTTCCCACGAGAAGAAGGGAACTGCTGAAGAAAGGGGAGAAGCCGTCCTCCATTTCTGCTTGAAGAATAAACCCTCACCTTGCTCTTCGTGTACGGGGGGTGTCCGGCGCTTAATGATGGGATGTTCCATATTTACCTCACCTTACTTCCTTCCTGCCAATATATATATATATATATATATATATATATATACATGAATAGTTGCTGCAGTAGTTCGTCGTTAGGCGTTAGAAAAACATTCAGTGAACAAGAAAACAC